GAGGTCCGTACGGTCTCTTGGATCGGAGTTTGACCCCCCTCCCCTCGCGCGCGGAGGGCGCCGGGGGCGGCGCCAGGAGCGCCGCCAGGGGTGCCCCAGCGCAGATCCAAGAAATCCGCGCGGAGCTCCGAATATGTATATGTGTGCAATTGTTCATTGTCGAGTCCTTTGTCGCGACGATGTTGTAGTTCCTGGGGGAATCTAAGGGTGCCGATGCCGCTACTCCCTGGACCTCTCCCGGGGCAGCTACGTTCTGACCAGAACTTCCGAGGCGAATCAGACCTTTGTGACGGGGGCCTCCTAGGAGGACCAAAAGAGCAAAAACGAAGGGGAAGGGTAGAGGTATCGGTGCGTCTTCTCGGGTCGGGCGAAAGGGGGGAATAGCAAAGGGGGGGTTTGAGAAGCAGCTCACGTAGCTGATTTTCCCAGCGCCTCCCAGCGCCAGAGGCGGCTATGTATCGAGGAATGGGCCCCTCGGTGAGGCCGAAACCAGCTGCATGCAGCAAATTTCGTAACCCCCCTTTCCCAATCCCCCCTTTCGTCCGGCCCGATCTTCCTCCTCCGAGCTCCTGGTCATCTTCACGCCGCCGCCGGCCGTGGCCCACTTGACCCCAGTCTGCCTCACAAGCAGCGTGCCCGCCTTGACGGCGTTGCCCTGGAAGCCCGAATGCTGGACGCCGACCCACTTGGGGATGTTGGTGCCGCCGCCCTGGTGAGGGGCAGCGATCGTGGGAGACCGGCTTGGAGGGAAACTATCGAACTGGACTCGGCGATACATCGCCGATAGAACGGAACGAATCCGCATCTTCCTGGGCGGGGTGGGGCTATCGGGCCCCTGTCGGCGATGAACGGGCGATTGGGGGTCGATGCGTCCCACCTATGAGCCTATTTACCTTGAAGCTCGCTGAGGGGCAGCGACGGCGATCTGTGTTTCTGGGGCAACGGGGGAGAGGGCAATGCATTTGTAGGGCAATGGCAAGCATGAGCAGCCCAATCGTGGGCAAGAGCAAGCCTGAAATCAGAGCTTCTCGCGAAGGGCGGCGGTAAGGATGGCTGTTGACCGATCAAGCGCGCCCGCCGAGCGTGCGGGGATCTGGCCCTGGAAACAACGCTGCCCCCCCAGCGACCTTCAATATTTACCCCCCCTAGCTTTGCCCCTGACCTGGTTCTTCGTGCTCGACGCGGCCATCTTGTGAGCGCGCATGGCTGGAAGAAGAAACAACTGCACAAGCAGAAACTTTTAGAGGTCCGCGCGGATCTCTTGCACCGGCGCTGGGCCGCCCCATCCTTGGCGCGCGGAGCGCGCCAGGGGTGGCGCCGGAGGCGCCGCCAGGGGGGCCCAGCGCCGATCCAAGAGATCCACGCGGAGAGCCCCAAATGTCACGTTCCGCTGAGATCCGGCGTTGCGAAAAAAATGCGACAACGCGAGAAATCACGCCTGGTGTCCTAGAACCCATCTTTCCGCGTTACTTTTTCAAGCTGCATCGATCTGTGAGGGTCCTGGGGCCCGAAAGCGGGCGAAACGCGCGTTGTGAAACAAGTGCGGCGCCCGGATCGGGGGCCTTGGAGGGGTCTGGTGCCGGTGGGGGCCCTCGTGAGCCCCTCTTGGTGGCGTCTTGGAGGCATCGGGGGCCGTCTTGGGCTCCTCCGGGGCCCCTCCTGAGCCCCTCGAGGGCCTCCTGGACGCTGTTCAAAGAGATCCTCGCGAAGCTCCCAAAGAGTATGGTTATGCTGTTTGTTCCCTGCGAGCGACACGCTATGACCTGCGAGCGGATAGCATGTCGCTCCGCTTCGCAGGGCCGAAGGCGGAGAAAAACTCGAGACGCTGGCGCTTGGAAATGGGGAGGTGGATAGCGTGTCGCGTCGAAGCGCGGTGGGCCAAAACCGGCGGCGCGACACGCTCAGCCAAAGTTCCTGACCGTATGCTTAGATGCCTCCTAGATGGGGTCCGGTTAAATGGGGTCGGAGGATTGCACCGCATTGCCGATGTATCGCCGATGCATCGGCGAAGTCGGCATGGAGAATATCGGTCTCTGCATGGAGCCGTATCGGCGATGCATCGGCGATGCGGCGTGGTCCGCCGACCCAACCTACCCGGACCCCATCTGGGGGGCTTGGAGTGAGACGGGGCCCCCAGAGGTTCAGGCCCTGTTCTCGGGGCCTGCTCTTCCATCCCGGGCTGCCTGTTGACGGCCCCAGGGCCCGGCGAGGGACCCCTGAGGCCGAAAACGGCTCCAGCCCTCCCGCCGTGATCTTTGGACTACTTTTGTGCACACCAACGACCGCATGCTCGTGCCGACTTTCCCTCTTCGGATGGCGATGGCGGGGCGCGCGCCGGCCACGGAGCGCTTCGCGGAGCCGAAGGCCCGCGCGCTGCCCCCGGCGAACCCGCCACTCCTGCAGAGGCACGGGGAGGCACACACATGCCATGGCACAGAGTCCCAATAGGCGCCATCTGCTTCCTGCATCGTCTCGTGCCCCATCAGATCCCCACATTGTCCCAGGGCTTCGTGGGAGTCCGCGGCTATTCTTGTGCCGATTTTCCCCTCCTGAGCTCCTGCCCTGCCGCCCCACGGACGCCGACAGCTGCGCGGGGGCCCAGCCGGACACCGCCTTCTTGGCCGTGTACATGGGAATATCGTAGGGGCCGCCGGGAGCGGGCCAGCCACCTGACGTCCAAAACGCACGGACGAACTCCAGACGGAGGTGTGTGTCACCGTGTCCGGAATCGATCCAGAGACGCCTTCGCCCGGCTTGCCCTGGGACCGTCAGAGAACGACTCGGGAGGAGAAGTCGGTACTGAGGGAAGGGCCAGGACATCTGAGCGGCGATCACAAACGGGTCTTACGCGAGATGGCATGCAGTCAAAACGTATATGAAGGATGGGTGGTGAGGACGCAAGACCCTTTGAGGCCGAAATTGGGAGTTGTTGGGGCGGCTGGCGACCACTGAAAACGGCAAAGGACGGGCCGCAGAGGCAAGGACACAAGGGTACCCTAGATGAAGGCCTGCGTCCTTACTAATTAGGCGCGTTGACTGTAGCGACCTTACGCTGTGGCTTACGCGGGCCGCCCGCGCGACGTGCCACACTTGAAGCGCGGGCGCTCACGCGCGACCTTATGCGGGCAGTCTACGCGCCAATGTTGGCGCAAGCGACCCCGTTCTCTTGAGTCGCTGATTTGAAGACCCCGTATTGAAAAACTCGAAACACGGGATGTCTGGGGCGAGGAAACGTAGACTGTCGGAGCTCCGCGTTGATATCTTGGATCGGCGCTGACCCCCCTCCCTGGTGCGTCGAGCGCGCCAAGGGCGGCGCTGGAGGCGTAGTGCCCGGGGGCCCTCCAGCGCCGATGTTTTTTTTGTGTGTGTGTGTGTGTATGTGTGTGTGCCGTTTTGTCTTCCTTCACCTGAGGGCGCAGGGAAGTCGGGGTTCTCCTTGTGCGACTCTGGGCCGTAATACATGTTGAACGTGTGCTGGTTCGGGTACCAGTAGACCCACTGCTCCGTGTACTGGGTGATGCGGGACATCCGCATGTGGTTCCTGAACTTCAGGCGCCTGTGTCCATAGACGGGGCTCTTCCTGGCGTACCTCTTCAGATTGAGGTGTTCCTGGGGCAGGAGAAATGCACAGGTACTGCTACCCCCTGGCGTCTTTCAATAGGGCAGTTATGCTCGCGCTTCGCGCTGCGAAGAGCGCGAAGCGTGAAACAAATCGTGCCCTTTGGGGAACACAAAGGTACCGATACCGCTACTCCCCAGCCCTCTCCCAGGATGCGTTCTGACTAGGACTCCGAAGCGAATCCAGCCGTGGCGGCGAGCGCCTCCCAGGAGGCCCAAAAGACGAAAACGAGGCATGGGTAGCTCCCACTCTTCCTCTCTCTCTCCCTCTCTCCCTCTGTCTCTCTCCATCTCTCTCTCCCTCTCTCCCTCTGTCTCTCTCTCTCTCTCTCTCCCTCTCTCTCCCTCTCTCCCTCTCTCCAATCTTCCTCCTCTGAGCTCCTGGTACCCGGGGAACTCCCACAGGCCGATGTCGCGCTTCATGCCGGGGCCGGCCGGGCGCTTGATCTTCAGCCCGCCGATGGTGCGAGGCAGGGATGTATCCAGATCCGGCGCCTGAGGGACCGAGGTCCCGGGACCCCAGCTGGCGGTGGATTTGGACATGGTTTGACCCCTGGGGGGGCCCAGTATGTGCGTATCCACCGCCTGTCGAGGTCCCCGAAGATCGATCCCCCAAGGCGGTGGCTCTGGACACAAGGGCAACTATGTTCGCGCTTCGCGCTGCGCGAAGCGCGAATGACTTCGCGCTCTCGCGCCACCCAGCTGGGGAAGAAAAGGACGAGGAATCGCGAATCTCGCCAACCGCGAACCGCGAATCACTTTGTGGGAAAACTCCAAAGAACTGATACCGCGACTCCCCAGATATCTTCTGAGACGCGTTGTGACCAAACTTTCGGGGCAAACCCAGCCGTGGCGACGAGGGCCTTCCAGGAGGCACCATACGGCGAAAACGAGGCAAGGTAGCGGCATCGGTACCTTCCCTTCTCGGACTTCGAGCCTTCGTGGCGGCCCGTGTGGATACATCCCCGCCTCGCAGATGGCGCACGTCGACGTGGCCCCGCGGGAGCGACCGGCGGCCCCCGTCAGCAGGGACAGCGCCGCGATCAGCGCTGCGCCCGCCACGAGGCCGCTGGCGACCGCAGGCTGCTGCTGCTCTGCATGCGGCCCGCCGCAGCGGTGGCGCGCCAGGTGGCGCGCAGCGGCCTCAGAGGGGCAACGCCTATGGGGCTGCGGTGGGAGGTGCATCCCACCGCAGCCCCACAGGAGGAGGAGGAGAAGGAGGAGGAGGGGGAGGGGGAGGGGGAGGGGGAGGAGAAGGAGGTGGGGAGGGGGAGGGGAGGGGGAGGGGGAGGAGGGGAAGGGAGAAGAGGGGGCGAGCGATGGGGGCATCGCCTGAGGGGCTGCGGTGGGAGGTGCAACCGTTCGCTTGCGCGGGCTATGGCGCGAACTCCTGCGCGAGCTGCTGTTTGGGGGCACGAACAATGGCAAGGGGGATCAGTTAGCCTGGCGAAAGGCCGAACCATAAGCAGTGATAAATACTGCAGTTCTGAGTACCATCTTCGGTGGCTCCCCCATATGCGGCCAGGAAACGTTTGAGGGATGTGCCAAAACGCCCTGTCGGCGGCATGCGGACATCTCCAGTGGCCGTGTGAGTACAGTCGTCGGTGGATCTCCCTATGGGGCCACGAACCGTGTGAGGGATGCGTCGAAATGGGGGGGTGGAACTGCATGCGGACCCTGCCGTTGGACCCTCGGTGAAGCTCCCTATGGGGCCACGAGACGTGTGAGGGGTGCGCCGACATGTGGAGTGGAACTGCATGCGGCCTGTGCCACTGAAGCCTTCGTGGAGCTCCCTATGGGGCCACGAAGCGTTTGAGGAGTGCGCCGAAATGGAGGTGGAACTGCACGCGGACCCTGCCAATGCGGCCTTCGGGGGGCCTCCGCATGCATCCACGAAATGTGTGAAGGTGCACCGAAATGGGGTGTGGAACTGCATGCGACCTGTGCCACGGAGGCCTTCGGTGGAGCTCCCCATGGGGCCACGAACTGTGTGAGGGGTGCGCCGAAATGGGAAGGGTGGAACTGCATGCGGCCTGTGCCTCTGGGGCCTTCGGTGGAGCTCCCTATGGGGCCACGAACCGTGTGAGGGGTGCGCCGAAATGGGAGGGGTGGAACTGCATGCGGCCTGTGTCACTGGGGCCTTCGGTGGAGCTCCCATGGGGCCACTGGGACCCTCGGTGGAGCGCACTATTGGGCCACGAAACGTGTGAGGGGTGCGCCGAAATGGGTGGCTATGGTGGTGATGAACACGGCGCTATCCTCAGACATTCGACGATCTGATGTTTCCAATCCGTGGCCCCAGAAGTCTCGACCTCTTCCCCGGGACCATTTTTCACCAGGCAGTGTCAGCGGAGCCTCGGCGCACGGCGCATCGGCTAGACAGCACAGGGCTAATTACATCAGTTCTGGCGCGCGCTCTCTTAGAAAATTACTCACTGCGTGGGGCTCCCCATATGTGCATTTCATGTTTTATGTCATGCCAAAGAGCGTCCGTTCATGAGCGCTTGACTATAATAGCGCGTCCACATGGGCGACTGGGCCGACGAAGACAAGCGAACCTGATGCGGGTGAAAAAGTATGACTCAGAATGAGCTTTGAACATGATTGAATATGAGCTTGCCATTCATTCCCCCTCCTCAGCTGCCGGGCCGCGCCCTCCTCGGCCTGTGGCAATGTGCGCATGTTCTAGGATCGTTGGCGGTGGGATATGTAAAACGAGCGTTTAGCCACACAAGGACATACGTGCATAACATGTTGTAGGATACTGTCACGGCAAGCACTTGTACATGATAGTTGTTTGCTCCACGAGCGCGTCCATGTGAGCGGCGAGCACGCGCGCGCGCAATGCGGCTGCGCATCCACCACGCACATGCATTCATTAACTTGCATATGCCCGTGCATCTTTTTTGTCAAGGCAGAGAATTCCTTCGGCGCCGCATCCGAAGCACCAGGGGGAGCACGAACGACAAGTGCTTCAAACAGCACCTCGCGACCTGCACCTCAGCTTTAACCGTCCGCACTTCGCATCGGGCCTAGCTGGCAACGCAAACAGAAGTCGCAGGTACATGACGCGCAAAAGGCATGTGCTACACGTGGCACCCTCGCGGTTTGCGCCTCGGCTTTGGCCGTCCGCTCTTGGCACCGGGCCTTGCCGGCAACGCAAAAAGAAGCCTTCTGCGATTGGCATCGGGGCGGAAGGCCAGAGGCACGACGCGAATCACTACGTCTGGGAACTCATATCTGCCAGCTGTGCCATATCGGACTCTTGGTCGGCCCCCTCCGCGATGCCCCGCGTGTCGCCCAGCGCCCCGTTGACGCCGCCGCCTTCGTTCGCAGCCGCGCTGGAATAAGAACCGTGCCCTTCCAGCACCTGGAGATGGTTATCGATCGTCTCGCAAGCGGCGCCGTCATCCAGCAATTGAGATACGGCCGCCTCTGTCTCCGCGGGCAACTTGCTCCGACAGTCGAAGCTCCGCCCACGGAAGCCAACCATGCCAGAAGGCTGTCGAGCGCCCGAGCAAAACGCGCGCATGCGTGCTGGTCCCTTGGGTGCGTGCCGGAGCACGACCCAAGGGGCCAGCGCGCATCCTCCCTCATCTCCTTCCTCCGCGCGTCCCAGAGGGTACGTGCCGGAGCACGACCCAAGGGACCAGCACGCCTCGACTCCTTCCTCCGTGCGTCCCAGAGGGTACGTGCCGGAACACGACCCAAGGGACCAGCACGCCTCGACTCCTTCCTCCGTGCGTCCCAGAGGGTACGTGCCGGAACACGACCCAAGGGACCAGCACGCCTCGACTCCTTCCTCCGGAGGGTACGTGCCGGAGCACGAACCGAGGGACCAGCACGCCTCGACTCCTTCCTCCGTGCGTCCCAGAAGGTACGTGCCGGAGCACGACCCAGGGGACCAGCACGCCTCGACTCCTTCCTCCGTGCGTCCCAGAGGGTACGTGCCGGAGCACGACTCAAGGGACCAGCACGCCTCGAATCCTTCCTCCGTGCGCCCCATTCAGGGTACGTGCTGGAGCACGACCCAGGGGACCAGCACGCCTCGACTCCTTCCTCCGTGCGTCCCACTGGGTACGTGCCGGAGCACGACCCAGGGGACCAGCACGCCTCGACTCCTTCCTCCGTGCGTCCCAGAGGGTACGTGCCGGAGCACGGGAGCAGCACGCCTCATCTCCTTCCTCGCAGCATGAAAACGAACAAACCGCCTGAGACATCCCCGCAAAATGGCCGCCAACGGGCCCGTGTCCTACCCCTTGGCGGCTCCCCTTAGGGATGCTGAAACCAGCGCCCCGCCTGACACATCCTCAAAATCTGCTCTGAAAGCCAAGGATGTTGGGCATGAAAACGAGCAAACCGCCTGCGACATCCCCACAAACTGGCCGCGAACGGGCCCGTGGAAACACCCCTGGCGGCTCTCCTTCAGGGTGCTGAAACCAGCGCCCCGCCTGAGACACCCTCAAAATCTGCTCTGAAAGCAAAGGATGTTGGGCATGAAAACGAGCAAACCGCCTGAGACATCCCCACAAACTGGCCGCGAACGGGCCCGTGAAAACACCCCTGGCGGCTCCACTTAGGGGTGCTGAAACGGGCGCCCCGCCTGAGACATCCTCACAATCTGCTCTGAAAGCAAAGGATGTTGGGCATGACAACAAACAAACCGCATGAGACATCCCCACAAAATGGCTGCGAACGGGCCCGTGAAAATATCCCTGGCGGCTCCCCTTGCGAGTCTGAGTATGACTAGGTCTGAGTATAAGTTGGTCTCAGTCCGTGCGTTGAGCAACTCAGACTATGAGAAGGTCTGAGTATGTGGAGGTCTAAGTATGAGTAAATCTGTGTATGAGCATGTCTGGGAACGAGTCTGGGTATGAGTAAGTCTGGGTATGAAGGAGTCCCAGCATGAGTAAGTCTGAGTACGAGTAGGCCTGCATGTTGTGTGTTGAGTAAGTCAGACCATGAGAAGGTATGTGTATAATTAGGTCTGAATATGAGTAAGTCTGTGTATGAGTAGGTGTGTTCTCGCTGGAGTCGGCGGCGTCCGAGTAATAACAATAACCCCATCTTAGGATATGGGGAAACATACGCCTGGAGCAGCGCTTCTCAACCGAGCCCTGCTGTAGGACGGCCCGAGCTCGGCGTGCATAAACATGCCAGAAGCCGTTCATGCTAGCGACGCGTGCTCATGTATTACGCGTACCCATGCCACCCTGGGCATATTTCTGGTCCACGGGCCCAAAGACGGGCCCAGGGAGGCCACAATCCAAGAGAGACGCCCGGAGAAACAGTTGTCCTGGGGAAAGACCCAACCATATGCAATTGTGAATAACGCGTTGTGGGTGCCGCTTTCGGTGGGACACGCAACGCGTGATGAGGAGTGCCGTAATGGGTGGAGGGGGGGGACGCATGCGGGCGGTCCCACTGCACTGGGGCCTTCTGTGGAGCTCCCTGTGGGGCCACGAAGCGCTGTAGTGGGTGGTGGGGGCGCATGCGGGCGGTGCTGGGGCCTTCGCTGGAGCTCCCTGTGGGGCCACGAAACGCTGTACTGGGTGGGCGACGCATGCGGGCGATGCCACTGGGGCCTTCGGTGATGCCCCCTATGAGTACGCGAAGCGCTGTACTGGGTGGGGGGCCGCATGCGGGCGGTGCCACTGGGGCCTTCGCTGGAGCTCCCTATGGGGCCACGAAACGCTGTACTGGGTGTGGCGGACGCATGCGGGCGGTCACCACTGGGGCCTTCGGTGGAGCCCTGTATGGGCCACGAAGCGCTGTACTCGGTGTGGCGGACGCATGCGGGCGGTCACCACTGGGGCCTTCGGTGGAGCTCCCTATGGGCAAACGAAGCGCTGTACTGGGTGTGGTGGACGCATGCGCGCGGTCCCAGTGGAACCCTCGGTGGAGCCCCCCATGGGGCCATGAAGCGCTGTACTGGGTGGGGCGGACGCATGCGCGCGGTCCCAGTGGAACCCTCGGTAGAGCCCCCCATGGGGCCACGAAGCGCTGTACTGGGTGCTGGCGGACGCGTGCGGGCGGTCCCACTGGGGCCTTCGCTGGAGCTCCCTATGGGCCCACGAAACGCTGTACTGGGTGTGGCGGACGCATGCGGGCGGGGCCACTGGGGCCTTCCCTGGAGCTCCCCATGGGGCTACGCAACGCTGTACTGGGTGCGGCGGACGCATGCGGGCGGTCCCACTGGGACCTTCGCTGTAGCTCCCTATGGGGCCACGAAACGCTGTACACGGTGTGGCGGACGCATGCGGCCGGTCCCCACTGAGGCCTTCGGTGGAGCTCCCTGTGGGCCGACGAAACGTGTGAGTGGTGTGCCGAAAGAAGAGGGAGGCCGACATGGATGGCGATGACGATGACGATGACGATGACGATGACGATGACGATGACGATGACGATGACGATGAAAATTATGATGATGATGATGATGATGATGCTGATGATGATGATGATAATGATGATGATGATGATGATGGTGATGATGATGATGATGATGCAGAAGAAGATGATGACGATGATGATGATGATGACGATAATGATCATGATGATGCTGATGATGCGTATGATGATGCTAATGATGACGACGACGATGCTGATGATGATGATGATGATGATGATTGTGATGGTGATGGTGATAATGACGATGATGACGATGACGACGACGACGACGACGATGATGATGATGATGATGATGATGATGATGATGATGATGATGATGATGAGAATGATGATGATGATGATGATGATGATGATGATGATGATGATGATGATGCAGAAGAAGATGATGACGATGATGATGATGATGATGATGATGATGATGATGATGATGATGATGATGACGATAATGATCTGGGAGGAGTGGCGGATGAGCAGGGGGCGGAGGAGGAACGCGGGGCGCTGTCTCTTCAAAACGAGGACCCAACACCACAAGATGGTTGGGAAAAACAAAACTCCTCGTCGGAGATCGGGGGCGCGGTCCGAGCTAGGCGACCGAACGGATTTTGCACCACCCCTGGGGCGGGTGGGTGAAGTGGGATTCCGTGACCTAGATACTGCCTGTTGAGAAGAAAAAAAACATAAACATAACTTTCGGCGCTCCCGGCGGATTCTTGGATCTGCGCTAGACACCCCTCACTGGCGCGCGGAGCGCGCCAAGGGTGGCGCCGGAGGCGCCGCCAGGGGGCCCATGCGCGGATCCAAGAAATCCGCGCGGAGCGCCAACAGTGTATGTTTGTGGTGTTGTTTGTCTTCGATGCTTGTTAGCTGTTTCTTGCTGTTATTGTTGATGTATTGTCATTTCTGAAGAATCAATATGGCTGGTCCCCCACGCTCCAGAGGTATGTGGTTTCAATCGGAGTGCCCCTGCCGGGGCTCGCACCCTGTTTTCTAAAAGGGAAGATCTTGAGCGTCAGGTTGGGCCCCTGGCCCCTGGACTACAACGACAACGGCTCCCGCCTTATGTTTCCCCACGACACATTAAAGATTCGCGATCCCGCTCGAGGCTCCCACGCCATTGATCCAGGAGTTGCTCCCTCGGCGCTCTGGACGAGCTCTCGCGCCAGACTTCCTCACATTTTACTAAAGAGAGACGCTGTCGCCTGAGACTTCCATGCCACCCGCTCTTGCTAAGCCATCTTGCCAATCCCTCTCGTCCTCCATCTCTCCTTCGATCCTGCCTCCGTCCCCCCTCCCTCCCTTCCACCTCGCCCTTCCTCCTCGCTCTCTCCCTTTTCCATTACTTATGTTTTTCTTATTTGTTTTTATGTGCTGCGCCGGTTAAACGTGGCAGGGGAGGAAGAGATCCCCCCAAAGGAGGCACGATCAAAGACGAAGAGGGCGGTATCGAGGGCATGGGAGATACATCTTGACAGACACGCGAGCCCATGAGAGCGAACGGTACCAATACGACCAAATTTCGGGTGATAAGGAGCTTGCGGGGTGGGGGGGGGCAAATGACCACTGATGGCAAATGCGAGGGGTGTGATGATGGCGATGCTGGTCACGCGCCCTCGAGCTAGCGACGACGCGTGATGACGATGTTGCGCTGCGGTGTAACGTCACTATCGTCCCCATTTTCGATCTCATTCGATCGATCCCACTATCGACCTCACGGCCAGTCTTAGTACCAATGGATCGCCCCCGGGGAGATCGACTGTCCCCGCGAGATCTACACGACCCAGGGGACGTCGCCTCAATGAGCATCCGACAGCGCGAGCACAACCAATGTCACAGTTAACCTCACTGTCGATATCACTTTTGATGCCATGAACTACCCCTCTCTAGTGATCTCATTATTGATTCCACTATCGACTCTCAGTATCGACTCTATCAACACCAGGGCGGGACACCCACAGCGCCCGCCCACCGCCGAAGGAACACCGACGGGACACCAACGGGACACCACGGCGGGACACCCGGGGCCACCGCGCGCCCACCGGCCCACGCAGCTTCGCCTCGCCCGCACGCACGACACAAACACGAAACCCCAACCGATTTCCCAGTGGGAGGCTCTCCGGTCCATTGCGATCTCACCCCCAACCCCGGATTCAACATGATAACCGTTGTTGCTGTTGTCGTGGTGCGCAGGTTGCTACTTGGCCGCGCGCACAACGGGGGGGGAAAGCTTCTCAGAAGGAGGCCGCTTCTTAGGAGGCGCCGGCCCTGTCTGTAGATGCATGGCCGTCGCCTTCCAAGAAGCAGGGGTGCTTCTAAGAAGCCTTCTCTCTTCTCCCTTACCCCCTTCTGCGCGTGGCCGAGTTGCGTGTCGATGCTTTTTGCCTCTCCCCTTTCCCGGCGGCCGGCATCGCCGCGCGCTCACGGTGGGGCCCGGCGCCGCCGACCCCCCGCCCAGGCTGCGCCAGGAAGGCGGCGGCCTGCGGGGCGCCCAGCGCCAGGAGGAGGGCCGTGGCCGCGGGCCGCATCTCGCCGCCTCTACCCCGTGACAAGGCGCAGGCCTCGGGCGGGGCGAGGATCACCAAGGGCAGGGGCTCAGCACGCGGTGGTGGCGATGGTCCGCCCCCGCTCCTCGAGCCTCCGTGGCTATGCGGGCTCTCTCCTTTCCTCCTGTCGCTGCTGGTCCTCCTTCTCCCCACCTTCCTCGTGGCCCGCCACACCCTCGTGCTTCCAGCCCGTCACCCCTCCTCTGTCTCCTCCTGCTCCTCCTTCTGCTGCTCCTCCTCCTCCTCCTCCTCCCCCTCCCTGCGGTGCTAGCGCTGCTGGCGTCTGAATCATGCGTCCTCCCTCCTCCTCCTCCTCCTCCTCCTCCGCCTCCTCCTCCGCCTCCGCCTCCTCCTCCGCCTCCGCCTCCGCCTCCGCCTCCTCCTCCTCCTCCGCCTCCTCCTCCTCCTCCTCCTCCTCCTCCTCCTCCTCCTCCTCCTCCTCCTCCTCCTCCCTCCTCCTCCTCCTCCTCCTCCTCCTCCTCCTCCTCCTCCTCCTCCCTCCTCCTCCTCTCCTCCTCCTCCTCCTCCTCCTCCTCCTCCTCCTCCTCCCCCTCCCCCCGCCACTACGACAGTAGGAGTTTCAGAAGCAGCTCGAGGACGCACAGGATCACACACCACTGACAGTTTCATCCATGGCACGGCTGCTTGAAGGCCGCCTCGTCCACCTGCGCGGGCCTCGCCGACCTGTCGGTGCCGGCCCCGCCGCCGAGCGGGCTGTCCGAGCTCAGCGCGGGTTCGTCCTGGGCAAGCCGCCGCGTTCCAGGCCCGCCTCTCGGGGAGCGGCAGCCGAGCGAGCGCGCGAGCCTCAGGTCCCGTGCAGCGGGGCGTCACAGGGACCCTGGGAGACCTCGCGCCACGCCTGCCCGAACTGCTCGAGGAGAGCCTGCGCGCGCTCCTCGTCAGCAGCTGCACTCGCCCTGCCTCGACCCACGGTCCGTTCCGAGTCTGACCTGCCCCTGGCCGTTCTCCCCGTGCCCGGAAATGTCCAGCCGGGTGCTCCTGCCACCGCCGCCCTTCATCTGCTGGTGCACGATGGCCCTGAGCATCCTCGTACTGTGCCATGGGCCTTCTCCTGCGTCGGCATCTGCCTCCTCCGCGTCCTCGCCCTCCTGCACCGCCTCCTCCTCCTCCTCCTCAACGAATCGTCTGCTTGCCGAGGAAAAGATGCGAGGGGCTGCCGTAGCACCAGTCCGCCCACGGTGCTAGCGCTGGAAAGTCCTCGTGTACAGCTCTCGGGAAAGCTCTCCGTCCAAAGTGTTGAACGCGCTCGAGAGGTCCAGCTTCACGAAGGCTTTGTCGCTGTCGCCCTGGTTGCGCGTGAACCACTGCCTGGCCACGTGGGCGGCCGCCTCGGCGCCTCCCGAGACAGCCGCGCCAACCTGGAGGCGCGCCAGGCGGTCGCGGGCAGCCTCGGCAACCTCCTCGCAGAGGCACTTGCCCGCCAGGCGGCGGAGTGTCTCGCCGACGGCCACCGGGCGCAGGCCGCCGTCGTTCTTCGGGAGAGCCACCAGCGAGGCACCAACAAAGTAAGCAGCAATCGCAGGCGGCGCCTGGCCGCGCGCGAGCAGGTTCACGAGACCAGCGAGCTGCTCGACGACCTCGTCCTGGTGGGCTGCCGTCGCCAGCGCGTCCTGCAGGTGCTGTGGGCGCAGGCCAGTGGGGCCGGCGGCTGAGCCCTTCGGGCAGGCCCGCGCTTCCTTTTGGACGACAGAGGCGTCGACCTCGGCGGCGGCGGCCGCGTGGGCAGCAGGCAGCTAGCCAGGTCCACTACTGGCTGCTGGCTGCGCGGGCGCTTGCGGCCCATCTGGCTGGTCCACGACGGCCGGCGCGATGGACGCGGGCGGCTCCGACGCCAGCGAAGCGCAGCTTTTCGAGTAAAGCCCCTCCGCCGCCAGGTCGAGGCAGCGCTGTGCTCGGTGAGTCGCCTTGTCCTTTCCCATTTTCTGGTGCCGCTCCGTTGTCTCCGCCCAGAGCGTCTGGCGCTCTCCCTCCGGCCAGCGGCGGCAGAGGCCCATGGCTTCCTGTTCGCCAGCGTTCCGGCTGCCTCGCCTCCGCGGCTGCGTGGGCGCAGCGCGCGCTTGGGCAGCGTGGCCAGTTGGACCCAAGCTGCTTCGGCGCTGTGGTGGACCGCCAACGCCGCGGCCCGCGCCGCGCGCTGAGCCCGCAACGCCCTGGCCACCTTGGGCACGTGGCGCCTCGTGCCGGCGCGGCTGGAGAAGACGGTCCGCGGCGAAGGGGGCCCTGGCTGGCCGGCGGCGTCGCCGGCGTCGGCCGAAGGGGCTCGGGGGGCCGCGGCGGCAGCTGCGCGCGCCGCTGGCCGGCACCTGGGGCGCGCCCCCCGGCAGCGGAGACCGAGCCCAGAGGTGCCAAGACGCTAGTTTTTAGTGCCGACACCACGGCGCTACTTTAGTAGCGCCAACTTTGTAAAGTAGCGCCAACACTGGCGCATACGCGATTACAATGATATTTTCTCTTCGCGCAATCAAAATCAAAAAAAAAAAACTCACCTCCTCCCAACCCACCCCAACTCATCATTCTCGTCGCATCCTAGATCATGCATGTGTAGACTAGCTCATATATATATATACATATATATACATATATGTGTGTATATACACATATGTTGTACAGAGTTTGCACATATACCGCAGAATGCCACATGAACCATAATAGTTTGCAGAGGAAGGATTGCGGAAGCAGTGAATATCACAGGATGATGATCGAGGCATGATGGCCCAAGTGGAGTGGACTGGGAGAGTTCCCTCGCCCACGACTTTCAGGAAGACACCTCTCGGCAAGTTTCTCAATATGTCTGCCGCGCCCGCGATCCAAGAGTATTCCGACGAGCGGGGCCCAGGGTTCGCTGGTTACACCTACGACCACATTGCCGACGCTCAGCCTCGCTGGCCCGCAAGGCAGCCCAGCATCGAGGAGCTGAGCGACAAGAGCGAGGAGCAGTCGCCACTAGCGGACTTCGACCGCGAGCACTCGCCCGAACCGCCCGTCCCCGCTGAGCAGCAGTCGCCGATGGATGCGTCCGAGGGCGGTGTTTCCGAGGATGAGGGTGCGACGGCTGCGAACGTTCAGCCGCCGCCTTCGGCCGCCCCCGTCGAGCAGCCTATCTTTTCCACGCCGCCCAAGAACGTGGACATCAACGCGGTGAAGCGCATGGCACTTGATGTGGGATCCATGGCCAGTGGTGGCGACGAGGATGTGGTGATGAAAGGCTTGGTCAACTTCTACAAGAGCCCAGCCATGCAGGCTCTACTCGGCACCAAGAAGCGTGCACCTCCTACCGTGGAGCTCACGCAGGAGGATCAGGACGAGAAAGAGATGTGGGAAAGGCTCCAGGCGACCAGGGAAATCGCTCGAGTCGGGAGGCGATGGAAGGACGGGGGGCTGAGGTTGGGAGGAGAGTGACGTTGGACGTGGGATGGGGGAGAGGGTTAGCGACGCATGGCCCATCCGCACGGCATTACATGGTTGGCGAATCGTGCACGTGTGCACATACATCCCTTTCGCAAGATCCCACCCGTATGTTTTTTTCGATCGCCCATACCATCCGATTACACCAGTAACTTTAGGCGCATACCGTCAGACCTTGATACGGCATGCCAGGTCAATGGGAGGTCAATGGAAGGTCAATGGAAGGTCAATGCAGGGTCGATGCATGCTGATTGGCGTGCCATCGGCATTCCATTGACATTCAATTGACCTTCCATTGACCTTCCATTGACTTTCAATCCTGTCTCCCATAGCTGATTGTCAGCATCTTCGCATCCTCGTTGCCGCGCCTTCCCCTGAGGCGAAGAATTTCGAATTCATCACGAAGGGGCGGGCGGGGAATCCCATAGCGGGGCGGTGGCAGCGCGAGATCAACAATCCCAAGTCCGACCTGAAGGAGCGCTACGCTGCAGTTGGCACTGGCCGCACGGCGCAGATGAACTTTCGCAAGCAGTGGGCGTCGGACAAATACAACGAGTACAAACGCACCACGACCGTTACCGAGACCCACAGCCAGGAGTGGATGAATACCGCGAAGTTTTTGACGGTTGGCCGCATAGCGTGGAAGTTCGGGGGCGGCAAGGTTGGGATGCGAGCTGCCGTCACCCATTGCACCAAGGCCCTGCAGATGGGAGAGGAGTTCTACGAGTTCCACGAGCAGGGCGAAATCATGCTCTTCCTTTTCGGGGAGAAGGGCTTCAACGAGGGCTTCAAGAAGGCGTGGACCAAGCATGAGGAGTGGACGTCCACGATCGCGAATGCCTCGGGCACGCAGGCGGCTAGGGCAAGCCAGAGCGGGTCGCCCCATCTCACTTCTGGAGAAGACGGAGGTGATAGCGATGAGGAGCAGGAGGGAAGAGGAGGCGGAGGAGGAAGGGGGAGGAAGGCGACGGCGAGGAAGCGGGAGGGGGCGAGGCGGACAGTGGAGGCGAGGGGCCCCCTCCGACCCAGGCGGGGAACGTCAGCACGGCGCAGGCTGGCGTGGGCTCCGACGTGGCGCAGGCGGGGAGCTGATCGACCCCATTCTCTCATCATCCTCCGCTCATCCTCCCGCCCGTCATCGCCCTACGCTCACCCTCCGCATCCTCATCCTCATCCTGTGTCCATCCGCCTTCTCGCCCTCCCGCCCTCCACAATCGCCCTCGTCGTGTCGTTCCATTCGTCCTTTACCTCCCCCACCCTCCTCATTTCCATCCTCCCGCAGCAGGCGGCATCGGCGGGCGGCAGCGAGGGCGAGGGCAAGCAGAACCAGGCGCAGAGCAAGGGCCAGCAGGCGACCGCCGCCCTTGGGCTTTCCTCTTTTTCCTCCTCCTCCCCCTCCTCCTCCTCATCCTCATCCTCCTCCTCCTCATCGCCGTCCTCATGCGCCTCATCAACCTCCACCTCCTCGCCCTCCCCCTTCCCCTGCCTCCCCCTCCCCCTCACCCTCC